CTTCCTTCCTTCCTTCCTTCCTTCCTTCCTTCCTTCCTTCCTTCCCTTTCCTTCCTTCCCTTTCCTTCCTTCCCTTACCTTCCTTCCCTTTCCTTCCTTCCTTCCCTTTCCTTCCTTCCCTTTCCTTCCTTCCTTCCTTCCTTCCTTCCTTCCGCAGAGGAGCCAGGACTTATGGCGAGGCAGAGCAGCTGCTGGGCGCCCATGGGACCCTGTTCCTGGTGCCTTTTCTGCCCCTTGCAAGGGGAGCTGCCAAGGCCTCCGTGGGCCAGATGCCTCTGGCACATTTGCGCTGATGGTGCAAAGATAGCAAGAAGACTCTAAAAGTTGCTCCTGCCGACCTCGGCCCTGCCACCCGCGGGGGTGGGGGGTGGGGGGCTTCTCGCTGCTGCTCCTTTGCAGCCCAGGGCAGCTGAAGGGCGAGGCGCTCCCTCGGAGTGGGAGGTTTGCCCGTTAAGCCTCCCTGTTTGGGGACGCCCGGCTCTGGGTTCCGGGGAGGCCAGAGCCATAATTCCTGGTGCCTGCCTGCCAGCACGGAGAGGAGCCTGGCGCCTGGCCTCGCTTAGGGCTGTCCTGGGGGTGGGGTGGGGGGTTTGTGTGTGTGCAGGATTTTGCTCCGCTTAGGAGGGGGCCTTGAGCCGCTTTGAGCCTCCCTGCCGCTTGGATGGTTTCTTCATGCCAGCCCTTTTCCTGCCCTGCTGGCTCAGGGGTGGGGTCCCCGTGAGCAGCTCCTCCATCACCGTTTTCCTGCCCCCACTGAGGATTGAGGGCCCCCCTGCATAAGGGGGCGGAGGCCAGAGAGGAGGGAGGAGAGCCTCGCCTTTGCCTGCCAGCCCAGGGAAGGGTGAGCCCCATGGGAGGTGGGCAGGGCTGCTGCTCGCGGGCGACAGGCTGGCTCCCTCCTGGCTCACCTCCTGTCGTCGCTCCCGGTGGTCCCTCCGGCCAGGCCCACTGTTGCCCCTCCAAGCAGCAGCTGCAGACCTTCCCAGGCCCCACCTGGCAGCCGAGAGCCAGGGCTTCTCCTTCCCCTCAGCTGGCCTTCCTTTCTCCCCCTCTGGCAGGAGACCGGGTCTTCCCGCACACACACTCCCTGATCCATGCCTTCCTGCGAGGAGCCCGAGATCCTGACTGCTCCCTCAGAGCCAGCAGCCTGTCCAACCTGGGAGAGTTGTGCCAGATCCTCGGGTTTCAGCTGGGGTCGGTGGTCCACGAGGTACCTGCCCCCGTCCCCCTCCCACTGGGGCTGCTGCTCCTGCTGGAGCCCCCTTGCTGGAAAGGACCCCCCTCCGAGGTCCTCCGCTGCCTGTTGAGGAGCCAGCAAAGGTTCAGAATCACCCGTCTAAGCTATAAGCCAAAAGGGGAATAGGGGAGAGCTGCGCGTTACACATGGGTGTGGGTGTGCGAGCCAGCCCTGGCCGTGGTGCTCCACTTTCCCCAAAGCCACTCTGATATTGGGGTGGGGGCCGCCACCCTTGGGCAGAGACCCCCTCCTGGGGTTCCCACGGCTCTGGCTGCTGCAAGAGAAGGGCTGTGGGGGGAGGGGGAGTTGACATGCACAGCTGGACTCCTTCAAGTGCAGCTGGTGGGCGATGTGGCAGCCTGGGTGCTGCGGGGGTAGCCAAGCCATGCAGGGGCGTGGTGGTGCAGCTGGGCCTTTTGCCAAGGTTGCCCTGGGCCTCCAGTACGTGGACAGGAGGCGCAACGGTGCAGTCACGTCTGTGCGGCTGAGAGCCGTTTCTGGCGCTGCAGCAGGCCAAGTGCCAGCTGACTCAGCGGAAGCTGCTGCTGCTGCTGCTGCTGCTGCAGGGCGTGGAGGAGGCAGGCTGTCCTTGAGCCCAGGAAAAGAAAGATGCAGCTGGGGCTGCGTGGGAGCCAGGCCCTGGCTCCCTGCGTGCAGATCTAGCCCTGGGACTGAAGCCCCTGGGCCCAGGAGGGGCGTGGGGTCAGCAAAAGTCTTCTGCAGGTGCTGGGACCCAGAGGGGGGATGTGGGGGCGCAGGGTCCCGGTCTCTGCTGGGGGAGTAAGTCAGCCTCGGGGCTGTCAAGGGGCCCAGAGGTCAATGCCTGCGTCCTTGGCGCAAAGGGAGACCTGCTTTCATCTCTGCCCTGGCCTGCTCTGAGGGGCCCTGCCTTTCTCCCTGGCAGCTGGCGTCCTGCTTGGCAGCCGTGGTCAAAACCGACCGGGAAGCTGAGGTCCGTAGAGCTGCGGTCCACGTGGTGGTGCTTCTCCTGCGGGGGCTGAGCACGAAGGCGGTGGAGGTGAGTCTCTCCTGCTGCCCCACCAGCTGCTTCCTTGCCGGGGCTTCTGTGTGGAGGGAGAGGAGGAGGCTGGGCACGTCCTCTTGTGGCCAGGCTGGCAGGAAAGGAGGCCCCGCTGGACCTGCCCGAATGCCTGCAGGAAAGGCGAGTGGAGAGCCTGCCTTTCCACACCAGGTGAAGGAGTGTGGAGAGCTGCTCAGTTCAAAGGAGTCTCAGGAGAGCTGCTCAGTTCAAAGCGGCCTCCTCAAAGGGCCCTGCTCCCTTGCGCCGCCTTGCCTCCATGCCTGCCACCAGGAAATGCCACAGAAGAGGTGGGTTCGCCCAGCCTGGCATTTACGGGCAAGAGATCATCCCTGCTTTCTTGGAACTGGCCCAGGGTAGTTTGTCTATACCTTTCCTCCAGAAAGGTGTGTAAGATTAATTAGTGCAATAATTAAATGCTGGCCTTGGAAAATTCAGGAGAAGGTGAGTTCTGGTCCCGCCTTAGGCGTGAAAGCCGGCTGAGCGACTTTGGGCTAGTCGCCCTTTCAACCCAACCCCCCTCCCAGAGTTGCTGTTGTGGGGGAAACTGGAGGAGGAATAAAGTAATTTCACCTCTATATATTTTAGAAAGGGAATAAAAATGGGGGGGGGGGGGGGCTGCCAAGCAGTGACCCCAGAAGTCCTGAGCTCCCCTGGAGGGTGTCAGGAAAAGGTGGGGCCGCCACTGGTCCGGCACGGCATAAGGTCCCCTGTTTAAACAGCGGGTTGGATGAAAGGCGGTTTTTCTGAAAGTCCTGTAACTTCGGCTCCCCTTTCCAGGTTCTCCGCGATGTCCTGCTGGATCTTTACCGCCTGCTGAAGTTCGTGGGGCGCTGCGAGCACGATGAGGTGACGGTGCTGCATGCTCATCTGGCCTTGGAAGAGCTGGACAGCCTCCTCAGGCCGCTCCTCTTCCCCCCACAGACGCTGGAGAAGAAGATGGAGATCCTGCCCTACTAGGCTGCTGCTCCGGAGGGCCACGGAGCCCTGTCCCTGCAGAGCCCTCGGGCGTGGCCTCCCTGGCAGCTTCTGTGGGAACTCGGCCCTGTGGCGCAGACTCTGGACAGACTTAGCTTGGTTGTGTGGGGCTCCATCCCCACTGAGAAGCATTGGGCGGGGCGGGACAGGTCATCCCAGGAGTGGCGTATTTGGAAAGGAGGCTGCCGGGGGGGGGGGGGGGGGGGGG